ACCCTCTTCAACGACTGTGGACAACCCGGTACCACGCTCGCAGCAGTTTGTCACGGAGCTGCAGACCACCCGCACGAAAGCAGCTGATTTTATTCGACGGGCTAATACCACAGCCAGCCGCCAGGCGGACAAGCATCGACGGAATTTACCCTTCCGCGCAGGGCAGGTTGTGCTCTTGGACACCAAGAATCTTCATCTGCCGCAGCCCGCAAAATTACGGCCCCGATACGTGGGACCATTTCGGATCATCCAGATGGTGACACCTGTCACCGCGAAGCTGCTGCTACCCGACGACTGGAAAATTCATGACGCGTTCCACGTCAGCCTACTGCGTCATTACGAACAGCCGCAGTCGCCAGCTGTTGCTCGGCCAACCATCGCGCCGACCACCCGTCCAGTAGCAGAACCCACGCTGGAACCTTGGAAGATTCTCAACCATCGCGTGGACGTCACCGCCGCCGGCCGCTCGGTGAAATTCCTGCTTCGCTGGAAAGAACGCACGAGCGAGGACGACACGTATGTCACCGCAGACTCGCTACTGGGACATCCGGTTGTGGATGCTTACCTGGCCCGCCGAGGTGTCTCGGATATTCACCACCTTTCTTAAGGGGGGGGGTAGTGTAAGGAATTTTCCGGATTCCTTACTGGGTCACTCCGTACGCGTACAACCCCGACTTTCGGAAAACCAGGCTCGGCCCGCCGACCTCGCCTTCCGAGCCACCACCGCGTCGCCTTCGGGTTTTCCAACCCCGAACCTGCACCCAACCATCTCGCGACCCCGCGACCTCGGCCTAGCTAGCCTTGCTATATTGTGCCTAGGCCTCGTTGTTCATTCAGACGTTGTAATCACTTCCGCGTTATTGAATTCTGCGCACTCTTTCATTCACAACTCATAACAGGAATGGTGTTCCTTGTTTACGAAGCAACAGTATTGTCTGGTGCTTTACATTGCTGTGGTTAACAGAATGTACCATTGGCGTTGTTCTGCAGGCGTCATTCGCGTCGCACCAATTTGACCGCGGTTGCCTTCCGTGTAATTTCGAGGCGCATTCATGCTAGTTGCGTTTCGCGGACATTGCTGCCTCGCATAACTTGTGCCAAGGCTGGTGCTAGCTCCCGAGGTAGAATCAGCACCGCACTAGTTGTGCGACCATTTGCCCGGCGAAGCAACAACTTCGAACCTGCAGACGGTTAAATCTGTGCGCCCCAAAAATGGTGTTCTGCAGGCGGGAGCGTTAAATTTGGCGCGAACAGGTTTGGTTGGACTTCCCTTATCACCAAACCTTGATAGGCAGAAGTCCTCTTATCAACGAAAATTCCGCGGGCCCAGTTTTTGGAAATTTAACGCCTACAGAACAGCGCCATGATCTACAACGTAAAAACTTACTGAACCGCACTTCGCAACAGCCGACAGAAGAAGTTACATGCGAGATCGCCAGTTCGCTAGGCCATGGCTCAAGCTTCTCCTTCTGGCAGGTGAAGGGTTTACAGCTGCTCCATCGCTTCTCTCTACCGCCGCTGCTGTCAGACCCAACCAGACAGATCTCGACTTCCCTCCCATCCCTCGCCTTCTGAGCAGTAGAGCGGCTCAATTTAGCAGCACGCTTCGGAATACGGATCGCGGCGGTTGAATGAGTGAAAGTTGAATAGGCCACGTCACTAGATTTCGAAGTTCGCGTTTTTTTTTTTTTTTTTCTGGATGTTGAAACAGCATACGTGTCCCAAATTGAGCACATCCTGGTTGGATAGTGTTTTCGTTGGCGGTCCAATCAAACGACTTTTGGCTCATTTGGCGGTCCAATCAAACGTTGGGGCTCATTTGGCGGTCCAATCAGAGCTGATGTTCATGTTGTCGGCGATTCCTTATGATCCACAATCGTCCACGGTGGCATATTTGGGACCACCTTCGAAGCCAGCAAACTGTGAATTCCAGCCGCTCACTGATTCCAAACCGCATCCCAACGGTCCGAAATTAGACATTCCACGCATCTTCAGTCTCTCTTCGTATTCCGGCTCGTCTTCTCGTGATTTTCAGTTAGTTTTCGTAGCCTTCCTGGCATTTTTGCTAATCGATCTTGGCTTTCGATCGCGCTACATTTTTCGACCCTTCACCATCTTCTCACGTCGACGCCGTTCAGCCTTGCCGGGATCGTATGGTCGGATCGTGGAGCTTCATTATCGCGACCGTGGGAGTTTCTGCAACGTAACGAAGCTACGTCGATCTGCGTTTTTTCCTCGACCTCGTCGCGACGCTAGCTACGACGTGGCTGAAGCGACATCGATTTCCCGACTTTTTACGGTGAAGGTTGAAAGTATCACCTTTCACCACCACTCACCACAGAGCCTCCTCCCTGGTAAAGGTTTGGTACAGGTTCGGTACAGGTGCGGTAAAGGTTCCCAAGGTGTTTGGTTGGTACTGGCTCTGTGGTGGGGCATCACTTGTTTCTTTCACGTTTACAGTCTTCATTTCCTTTTGCTTTCTTCACTTCCGTTTACTGACTTCATGTTATTTATTATACTTGCAGGTGCTATTGGAGGCTGCGAGGCGTACTTCCGAAGCTTTCGGAGGAGCAACAACTTTCGTGGCTCTCCACTCTTCAAGGCGTCCTCGGCCTCGTCGCGACGCCATCTACGACGTGGCTGAAGTGTCATCGATCGACCAGAGGAGCAGAGGAGCAGCTCCACGAGTCGTCCTGGTGAAGGTTGAACGTATCAACTTGCACCACCACTCACCACAGAGCCTTCCCCCCGGTTAAGGTTTGGTAAAGGTTCGGTACAGGTCCCCAGGTGTTTTTTTTTTTTTCGGTACAGGTTGGTACTGGCTCTGTGGTTGGGCAGCACATGTTTCTTCACTTCGCAAAGTCGTTTTCTGCATGCTTTCTTCGATTCCGTATACTAACCACGTGTTTTTTTCTACACTCGCAGGTTCTAATGGAGGCTGCGAGGCGTATTTTCGAAGACTCAAGAGGAGCAAAGGCTTTCAGGGTTCTCCATGCTTCATGACAGAGGAGCAGCTCCACGAGTGAAGGTTGAAGTATCATACTCTTCATACTTCACAGAGCCCCCCCCTGGTTAAGGTTAGGTACAGGTCAAGGTTGGTAAAGGTTCCCCCTGAAGGTTTTTCGGTTGGTATTTGGCTCTGTTTTTTCCACGCTTCTTTCCTTTCGCATGCTTTATTGCCCGACCTTTACTAATTCTTGTTTGTTGCCAAACCTGCAGGTTCTTTCTGAGGGTCTGCTGCAATGACTTCATAGGGCCTTCCATGCTTTGTGGCATACAACAGAGGAGCAGCTCCAGGGCAGGTGAAGGTTGAACGTATCAGCCACCCACTCCACACTCCTCAGAGCCACCCCCCCTTGGTTCAGGTCGAGGTGAAGGTAAAGGTTGAGGTTGGTAAAGGTCCTCCTAAGGTATTTTTTATTGGTATTGGCTCTGTAGGCAGTTCACACTTGCACTACACTTTTCGTTCCTCACTTTTACCTTCATTGACTATTCCTTTCTAACTCGGATTTTTTTACTTCACTTGGCAGGTTGATATTTCAGCATGCCTAAGAATCAAGATCCATTGATGCACCATGGCCTGCTGAGGCATCTCAAGGCTCAACAACCATGGAAGATAAGTCACCTACTTCCACGTTTTTCCTTGTGCTTCAACTCCCAGTGACTGGTTTATTTCGCCTCATGGCAGGTTCTCCAAGCGTCATCTTCACGCCATGGATCCCCAAGGCCTTGTGCGCCGCTGCACACTCCACCAAGCCTAAGATCCATGGGATGGGAGCACCATGGCGCCTGCTCTCGCCCTTCAACGGTCAACCATGGCGAGATAAGTTTTCAACCCCAGCCATTTCCCTTTGCTTTATCGCATTACTCCACACTGCTTACCCCTTTTGCTTTCACCCTTGCTGTCCTTTCAAGATGATACCGGTCACTGACTTTGTTTATTTACCTCATGGCAGGTTCTCTCCAAGGGCTCTCTGCACTCCCATGAAGCTCCAAGTCCTTGCGCACTGCTCAACACCTCCAACTCTTAACTTCAGATAAGTCTCTGCCCTTCACTTTGCACTGAGTCAATTCGCTGAATCTTTTTTATTTAGTTGTGTTCATCATTTTGCTTTGACGCATGCTGCATCCTTGCTGTTTTTAACGAGCCCGGACTAATATCTGTCTCTTGTACCATGCAGGTGGAAGGCAGTGCACGAGAGGGGGTGAAGCCTTGAGCATTGGCTGGGGACTCGACTCCGGGCCAAACCGGACTGGTTCTGTCCCCCTCCTCCCACACCACATGACAAAGCTGTCTGGCCATCAGTGATGTCATGTGGTGTGGGCGGGGGTGGGCAGAGCCAGTCCCTAGTAGGGCACCCGCACGTCTTGGTCCTGGCAATGCTCAAGGCCCAACCTTCCTCTCTGCCTGTGCAGTGCACTGCCAGTCCATGCCGGGGTGGGCATGGATGGCATGCTGCCATGGAGTAGCTGTGGACCTATGGTTGGTAGGATTAGGCAGAATATCAGTCTGATTGTACTTTTAAATATTTTTTGAATATTACATTGCGTTTTAGTGTAGCAATACTATAAGTAGGGCGTAGAATATCAGAATCATAAAATGTTGCTGGACAAATTAACTTGAAAAACCTTGTTCTTGAATTCAGAATCATCACAGGTGAAAACCGTCAAGTACCTATTCCTGGATAATCGAGGAGAACATTCTAGGATAGCACGAAAACTTTTCGGGAAAGCACAAAACCGCATCTCACCGCATTGAAGTGCACTCTTTTCAAACTCTTGCTATGCTACACCTACCTGGATTGGTGAACAACCAGATATCATCCAGACAACCTTGAAGTTGGTGCGAATTTGTCTCCTCCCGTCACCTCTCTCGAGCACTAGTGATCCCATTTCCATTGCAAGGCGAGCATTTGAAAGCAAGGATCAGCTCGGCCCGCGTCGCGTCGATATATTCGAAGCCGAGGCGTCGGAAATGACGATGCTCGCAGAGCGCAGCGATGCCATGGCGAGTTCGGGTCGGGTGGTACGACCAGCCATTGCCTGCTGCTCCGCGGGAGCAGCATCTGCGCGTTCCAGACGAGAATATCCGCCCGGCCGAGCTCGATCGGTACAATCGGAGCCGTTCATTCGTTCTTCGCATTCACGCGGCGTTATTATTCGCGTTCCCTCGTCGCGAGTTCCGCGCAGCGTGGGAGATGGAGATCGCCATGATAGAGGAGATGCGGCGTTATTATTCGCGTTCCCTTCCCCCTCCCTTCCCCTCCCACTGCCTCCCCTTCACCCAACCCCACCCTTGCTTCACGTGTTCTTGCGCTCTAGCGTGTGTAACTAGGCTCCACGGTTCAGACGCTATGAACTCTCCCTCCTCCTCCTCCCTTCCCGTCCCGCTCACCGTCCCTTCCCCCACGCTCCCAGCTTCTCCCTGTCAACGGTGATAGCGAGCGCGGCAGCAGCAGCGGGCGAGGGCACGGGCGCCATGCAAGCGGGCCTCTCGTTCCTCCCTGGCGGCGCGCTCTCCTTGGTCCCCATCGCCTGCCACTGCTACGCCCGCCCCTGCCGCCTCTCGCCCCACTCCCTGCTGCTCGCTCGTGCAGCACCTAATGCTTGGCGGCAGTGGGGGATGCGGGAGTGGGCGGATGCGGGAGTGGGGGGATGCGGGAGTGGGGGGATGCGGGAGTGGGCGGATGCGGGAGTGGGCGGATGCGGGAGTGGGCGGATGCGGGAGTGGGCGGATGCGGGAGTGGGCGGATGCGGGAGTGGGGGGATGCGGGAGTGGGCGGATGCGGGAGTGGGGGGATGCGGGAGTGGGGGGATGCGGGAGTGGGGGGATGCGGGAGTGGGGGGATGCGGGAGTGGGGGGATGCGGGAGTGGGGGGATGCGGGAGTGGGGGGATGCGGGAGTGGGGGGATGCGGGAGTGGGCGGATGCGGGAGTGGGGGGATGCGGGAGTGGGGGGATGCGGGAGTGGGGGGATGCGGGAGTGGGCGGATGCGGGAGTGGGCGGATGCGGGAGTGGGCGGATGCGGGAGTGGGCGGATGCGGGAGTGGGGGATGCGGGAGTGGGGGGATGCGGGAGTGGGGGGATGCGGGATTGGGCGGATGCGGGATGGGGGATGCGGGAGTGGGGGGATGCGGGAGTGGGGGGATGCGGGAGTGGGGGGATGCGGGAATGGGGGGATGCGGGATTGGGCGGATGCGGGAGTGGGCGGATGCGGGAGTGGGCGGATGCGGGAGTGGGCGGATGCGGGAGTGGGCGGATGCGGGAGTGGGGGGATGCGGGAGTGGGGGGATGCGGGAGAGGGGGGATGCGGGAGAGGGGGGATGCGGGAGTGGGGGAATGCGGGAGTGGGGGGATGCGGGAGTGGGGGGATGCGGGAGTGGGGGGATGCGGGAATGGGAGGGTGCGGGAGTGGGGGATGCGGGAGTGGGGGATGCGGGAGTGGGGGGATGCGGGTGGGATGGGATGGGATGGGATGGGATGGGATGGGATGGGATGGGATGGGATGGGTTGGGATGGGATGGGATGGGATGGGATGGGATGGGATGGGATGGGATGGGATGGGATGGGATGGGATGGGATGGGATGGGATGGGATGGGATGGGGTGGGATATGGAATGGCGGATGTCCCATTCTGTGTCTTAACTTGTGATGCGCATCTGTCGGTTTCACACGTGTATTCCTCTTCATATCGTTTCTCGCAACTCCTCACCTCCTCTAACATACGCGCCCGCACATTCCTTGCCTCCCTTGTCACCATCGCCTTCACTCTCATCCCCCACCCACTGCCTGCCACCCCCCTTCTCCCATCTGCCACCATGCTCATTTCCCATCCGTCTTCCTCCCACTCCCCTCACGCACTCTCTCCTAACCCACCCTTGTGTGCTATTCCGCATTGGCCTTCCGTCTCCAACCCTCTGTCCCTCACTCTCCCATGTCTCTCTCTTCCCTTTCCTAACTACCCCCACCAACCCCCCCTCCTCTCTTTCTCCCTTCCTCTCCTTCCTCCCCTTCCTCCCCATCCTCTCTCGCCCATCCGTCCTTCCAACCTGCACGTCTATGTGAGTGCAGGCGGAAGCAGGGAATGGGCTCACAGCAGCTGAGCAGCCTCCTACCAGCCATCTGCCATGCCACTGCTGACGCCTTCGAGTGCCACCATTACCACCGCTTTGCACCGCTCACCGTGGACCAGGTAGGCCTTTGCGCTCGTCTGTTTCTTTGATTAAAGCAGCGGTATACATTTGGCGCTACTGTTCAGTTTGTACAGTGATGGAACACCATTTCGCCCAGACGAAAAAAACCGGGGGGAGCGAGAGTGTTGGCGAAAACCAGATGCACTTGTGTTGTGAGGGAACCAGATTGGGGTTGGTTGTGAGTCACAGAATGGATAAAATGCCCTCGCCACCGAGCTCACCACTAACTCTCACACACCAAGTAAAATAACCGCCAAATACCTACTCCAGAAAGAAACAACCACGGCGCGCGCTAGAAGGTGCTACGCCAGCAGCGCGACCAGACCACACACAAAGTGGCGCGTGAGTTCGGGACGAATTCAAATAGCCAAAAGGGCGAAACGTGTAGAAAAATCGCGCGCAAGCAGCAGCCTTTCTAGTAACCGTGACGCACTCACCTCTAGCCTCGCACGCGCCCTAACATTCCGCCCGATCCAGCATAGCACGCTCCAGCATTTCGCGCTCAGGATAGCAGCGCACGCAAGCAAAACGCGCGCCGCAAGGGCGCTCGTAATATTCATAGCGCGCGTGGGTACCAGTGACGAATCGTGTTCTCCGAGGGGACACACCGTCTTTGCGCATATAAGAAGAGGTGGGAGCTGCGTCACGTGCCCCCAAACGCATTCGTGCCGTCTCATACGCATTCCCCATTCCGCGTTCCCCATTCCGCATTCCCCATTCCGCATTCCCCATTCCGCATTCCCCATTCCGCATTCCCCATTCCGCATTCCCCATTCCGCATTCCCCATTCCGCATTCCCCATTCCGCATTCCCCATTCCGCATTCCCCATTCCGCATTCCCCATTCCGCATTCCCCATTCCGCATTCCCCATTCCGCATTCCCCGTTCCGCTCTCCCCCTTCCGTAGGCCCCCTTTCGCGCAGCCCCTTCCGCGTTCCCCCTTCCGCGTTCCCATTTCCACATTCCCCCTTCCGCAACCCCCCTTTAGCGTTCCCCCTTCCGCCAACCCCCTTCCGCATTCCGCCGTCCGCCTTCCCCCTTCCGCGTTCCCCCTCTCGCGGTAACCCTTTCGCGTTCACCCTTCCGCATCCCCCCTTCCCCATCCCCCTTGCGCATCCCCCCTTCCGCATTCCCCCATCAGGCCCCATGTTTCCCCCCATCAGGCCCCATGCATCCCCCCATCAGGCCCCATGCTTCCCCCCATCAGGCCCCATGCTTCCCCCCATCAGGCCCCATGCTTCCAGACACGAGGCCCCATGTTTCCCCCCATCAGGCCCCATGCATCCCCCCATCAGGCCCCATGCTTCCCCCCATCAGGCCCCATGCTTCCCCCCATCAGGCCCCATGCTCCCCCCCATCAGGCCCCATGCATCCCCCCATCAGGCCCCATGCTTCCAGACACGAGGCCCCATGCTTCCCCCCATCAGGCCCCATGTTTCCCCCCCATCAGGCCCCATGCTTCCCCCCATCAGGCCCCATGTTTCCCCCCCATCAGGCCCCATGCTCCCCCCCATCAGGCCCCATGCTTCCCCCCATCAGGCCCCATGCTTCCCCCCATCAGGCCCCATGCTTCCCCCCATCAGGCCCCATGCTTCCAGACACGAGGCCCCATGCTTCCCCCCATCAGGCCCCATGTTTCCCCCCCATCAGGCCCCATGCTCCCCCCCATCAGGCCCCATGTTTCCCCCCATCAGGCCCCATGCATCCCCCCATCAGGCCCCATGCTCCCCCCCATCAGGCCCCATGTTTCCCCCCATCAGGCCCCAAGTTTCCCCCCATCAGGCCCCATGCTTCCCCCCATCAGGCCCCATGCTTCCCCCCATCAGGCCCCATGTTTCCCCCCATCAGGCCCCATTCATCCCCCCATCAGGCCCCATGCTTCCAGACACGAGGCCCCATGCTTCCCCCCATCAGGCCCTATGCTCCCCCCCATCAGGCCCCATGTTTCCCCCCATCAGGCCCCATGCTTCCCCCCATCAGGCCCCATGCTTCCCCCCATCAGGCCCCATGCTTCCCCCCATCAGGCCCCATGCTTCCCCCCATCAGGCCCCATGCTTCCCCCCATCAGGCCCCATGTTTCCCGCCATCAGGCCCCATGTTTCCCCCTGCAGACCCCATGTTTCCCCCTGCAGGCCCCATGTTTCCCCCTGCAGGCCCGTGCTTCCCCCTGTAGGCCCCATGTTTCCCCATGCAGGCTGATGCTTCCTCCCCCTGCAGGCCCCCTGTTTCCCCTGAGCGCACACGTCCATAATCCCCCCATGCTAGCCCAATCATTTCCCAATGTTAGCCCCATGTTTCCCACGGCAGGCCCCACGTTGTACCCTTGTAGGCCCAATGTTTCCCCATGCCGGCCCCATGTTTCCCTCTGCAGGCCCCATGTTTCCCCCTGCAGGCCCCCTGTTTCCCCCAGCGTGCCCCCTGTTTCCTCCTGCAGGCCCCCTGTTCCCCCCATGTCAGACCCATTTCTCCCGCCTGATAGCCCCATATCCCCCCCGTGATAGCCCCATGTTTACCCCATGCTAGCCTCATGTTTCCAAGGCTGGGTTATGAGTGCATCGCTGCTCACAGCAGCATGGAAAGAGCTCACCAGCAAAGGAACCACTCAGCCCGCACACTCTTACTCACCTTCGCTTGTCACATCCTCTTTTCCCACCCTACCCTTCCCTTCCAAGGTGTCAAGGTGAGTGCATCGCTGCGAACAACAACGTATGGAGTGCTCACCAGCAAGGGAACCACGTGCCTGACCACACTCTCCCCTGCCCTTCCAATGTTGGGTGGTGAGTGCATCGCTGCTCACAGCAACGTGAGGAGTGCTCACCAGCAAAGGGACCTCCCTTCTAGAACACTCTTACTCGCCTTCGCCACTCACATCCTCTTTTCTCTCCCTCCCCTTCCCTTCCAAGGCGCCGTGGTGAT